CACTGCAGCTACGTGCCCTTTTTAAATCCTTTATATTAAGTTCACTTGCTTGCGTGCTTACGACCGTGCAAATCTTTCGGTCGTTTTTTAACCCACTTCCCGTGATCCAATCGAGCTGACATTTTGCACACAGACTCGTTGTGCGAGACAATTAATGTTCGTGAAAAAAAATTCCCAAAATTTTACACTGTTTAGGGAAAACAAATTAAATATTTAATTACCAATTGCTTAATACTGGCAGACAATCATCTGACCCATAGGTGGCAGCCATCTCAAGCCAGAGAACGAGAGGACTCTAGCCGCCACGCATATAAAGGATTTATAGTGAAAAACTTTGTTTTTACGGGTTTACTTGTTAAATCCTTTATATTAAGTTCACTTGCTTGCTTGCGCGCTTACAACCGTGCAAATCTTTCGGTCGTTTTTTAACCCACTTCCCGTGATCCAATCGAGCTGAAATTTTGCACACAGACTCGTTGTGCGTGACAATTTATTTTCGTGAAAATTTTTTCCCAAAATTTTCCACTTTTTAGGCATTTTTTCATATTTAATTTAAAATAGCAATGTGATAAAAATGAAACTCTTACTCAAGAAAAACAGAAATGAATAATAAAATAAAACCGATGCCACGCATGTAAAGGATTTGTAGTGAAAAACTTAGTTTTTACGGGTTAATTTTTCACGAGCGGCCTGGCCACCACAAAAGATCGCTCAACGAACCGGCTTATCATCATGTGCAGCTTTATTGCGGCCAAATACCCGACACGCACCGTCGATTCTTAAGGTGAAAGGAATAACCGAAAAATCCACGCGATCACGGGCAGAGAGAGATAGATAGATACACGCAGAAACTCCAAACACACAACAGGCATAAGGTTCCGGATCAAACCCACGACCTGTATACCAGGCAGGTTACTTTCCATCTCCGAGCCACCACGGTGCCCGGTTCACATGACCAACGCATCTGATTTACCACGGTTGGTTACGTACGGTGCGAAAAAAGTTCAACATACACAGGACGCCTACAGCCTCTAGGCAATGCTACAACATTCGCCACGACCTTAGAGCAATTGGATTCACGAATCGATTTTGCGACCCAGAAATAATTACGGCGCGAACACAAAGACAACGACCCCTTGTGTACTCTTAGGTTTCTTCGGTAAAGTCACGTAGGTAAAAATAAATAATAAAATAATAGAAATCATAATAGAAATAAAATGATAAATCATGACGTTTCGGAGGCAACACCTTGTGGCTACCATCAAAGGTTTGTACACGAAGCCATCCAGATATACAAACACAGACATCACTTCAACCGTGATGATGATGGGTACAAACTGAGTACTCATTGGATAGATGTTATTAACCGTGCAAAAAAGATTTAACTACACATATTTGGACCATCTTATTTGACAGGTACTTTTAGATTTAAAGCTTTCGTGACTGCAGGGATTCATCTTCTTGGTTCTTTCGGTAAAGTCACGTAGAAGGGAAATAATAAAATAATAAAAATAAAACATAATCAAATACAATTCTCACGTTTCGGCTACAACGCAAGCAGCCGTCCTCAGGTGAAGAAACAGGTCTGTCGGAAAGACAGCGTCCTAAGGACGCTTTGTTTCTTCTTATGTTTTAGTTTTATTTTTATTATTTTATTATTTCCCTTCTACGCGACTTTACCGAAAGAACCAAGAAGATGAATCCCTGCAGTCACGAAAGAAGCTTTAAATCGAAATTCACTTGATACAGTAAATCTAGCTGTGACGGTCCCACCTGATGACGAAACGTCGTGATTTATAATTTTATTTATATTATTTAATTTTTATTATTTATTTTTTACCTACGTGACTTTACCGAAAAAACCCAAGAGTATGAATCCTTGCAGTCACGAAAGCTTCAAATCTAGAACCCCTCGTGTAGCCTTTAACATCAACGAGCCCGCCATGACCATCGACAGTTCTGGATTGGGCCTCAAACAGACTGTAGGGGCAAGTGCTGTTAGCGAGTACCTATTTAGGCCGGCACGGCACACGAAGGGGTGGGTGGCCAGCACTACGCCCGGCCTGAGTCTCCCCAGTGCTGATGTTTTTACACACCGCACCAGGTACTCATTTGAGGCTGAGTCGACCTAGCGGGGAGGCTTCCAGGACCGGTTCAGATCATCGCGTATCGTCGCGCGATCGCCACTACGCCACCGCTCCCGGCACACAAAGATGAGACGGATATTCCCCGTTAGAGGTGCACCCGAAACAGGAGGTGGATTTCTCCACAACTCTGTCTGTCGCCTGATGATGCTGGTTACTTGAATGGTAAATGTTGTAGTGGCTTTAATCTGCAACACAGATGTTAGTGCTGTGCGAGTAACGAATTGGCACGTTTCGTTTACGTGACAAACGCTTACTAATTGGATGCGTCGGGTCGTGGTGGGTTTAACGACGCATTTATATTTACGAGGTTTAACCCCAAAAAATAACCTCTATTATGGATCCCCTGTATAGCAGAGGTCGCAAACGGGTTTTGATTCCTTATCCGTACCCGTACCCGGCCGCACCAGGGTCGCAAACGGGTACCCGTACCCGTACCTGGCAGTACCCGTACCCTACCCGTACCCGGCTGGGTACGGGTAGGGTACGGGTATCGGGTACCTGATTGCAACCTCTGGGATGAAGCCATGTTGCAGGCGCGGGTGGGTTGATTCTAGGAACTTGAATTGTGAGAAGAGACAAGACGTTGGGAAATGAGTGACAAACGGTTACTCACCAGTGACTCACGGCCTACCCGTACCCGGCCGCACCAGGGTCGCAAACGGGTACCTGTACCCGTACCCGGCCGGGTACGGGTAGCCGGGTATCGGGTAGGGTACGGATATCGGGTACCCGGTTGCGACCTCTCCCGTATAGCCTGAACAGGCCGTTGGGACAAGTGCTGTTAGCGAGCGTCTATGAAGGCCGGAACAGCACACGAGGGGGTGGGTGGCCAGAACCACACCCGACGGCCTTTGTCTCCCCAGTGGCGATGTTTACACACCGCACCAGCTACTCATTTGAGGTCGAGCCGACCTAGCGGAGGAGGCCCAGGACCGGTGCAGATACCCGTCAGCGGTGTTGTCCGTGAGCGCAAATCGAACTCGGGTCGCCGGGTTCGTAGAACAGCGTGCCAACCGCCACCAAGACCTCTCTCCACACACACAGCACGCACACAGCACGCGCACACAGCACGCGCACACGCGATCACAACGCATCCATCATGGCCAGCAGCTCCTCGCCTTTGCTGCTGGGCTCTCGGCTGCCATCCTCCTTGGCGCCCTCCTCCCCCGTGGCCTCCCCCAGGTGCCCCTCGTCGGAGAAGCTTCCCATGATCCTCTGCAGCTCTTGATTGGGATGCGACTGCGGGACGAGAGAAGGGACGGGCAAGGTCTTGCTGCACGCTGGGGGTGTGGGTGTGTGGGGGTGTTGGTGTGTGTGAGGGTGTGGGTGAGAGTGAGTGTGTGTGAGTGTGTGTGTGAGAGTGAGTGTGTGTGTGAGTGTGTGTGTGGGGGTGTGGGTGGGTGGGGGTGTGAGTGTGTGAGAGAGTGTGTGTGGGTGTGTGAGTGTGTGTGTGAGTGTGTGTGTGAGAGTGAGTGTGTGTGTGAGTGTGTGTGAGTGTGTGTGTGTGAGTGTGTGTGTGAGTGTGTGTGTGTGAGTGAGTGTGTGTGGGTGTGTGAGTGTGTGAGTGTGTGTGTGAGAGTGAGTGTGTGTGTGTGTGAGTGTGTGTGGTTGTGGGTGTGTGTGTGTGTGGGGGTGTGTGTGTGAGTGTGTGTGAGTGTGTGTGTGAGTGTGTGAGTGTGTGTGTGAGTGTGGGTGTGAGTGTGTGTGAGTGTGTGTGTGTGTGTGTGTGTGAGTGTGTGTGTGAGTGTGGGTGTGAGTGTGTGTGTGAGTGTGTGTGAGTGTGTGTGTGTGGGTGTGAGTGTGTGTGTGAGTGTGTGTGTGTGTGAGTGTGTGTTTGTAGGTGTGAGTGAGTGAGTGTGTGTGTGAGTGTGTGTGTGAGTGTGTGTGTGAGTGTGTGTGTGAGTGTGGGTGTGTGTGAGTGTGTGTGAGTGTGTGTGTGAGTGTGAGTGTGTGTGTGAGTGTGTGTGTGAGTGTGTGTTTGTAGGTGTGAGTGAGTGTGTGTGTGAGTGTGTGTTTGTAGGTGTGTGTGAGTGTGTGTGTGAGTGTGTGTGTGTGAGTGAATGTGTGTGTGAGTGTGTGTGTGAGTGTGTGTTTGTAGGTGTGAGTGAGTGAGTGTGTGAGTGTGTGTGTGTGAGTGTGAGTGAGTGTGTGTGTGAGTGTGTGTGTGAGTGTGTGTTTGTAGGTGTGAGTGAGTGTGTGTGTGAGTGAGTGTGTGTGTGAGTGTGTGTGAGTGAGTGTGTGAGTGTGTGTGTATGTAGGTGTGTGAGTGAGTGTGTGTGTTTGTAGGTGTGTGTGAGTGAGTGTGTGTGTGAGTGAGTGTGTGTGTGAGTGAGTGTGTGAGTGTGTGTGTGAGTGAGTGTGTGTGTGAGTGAGTGTGTGAGTGTGTGTGTGTGTAGGTGTGTGTGTGAGTGTGTGTGTGAGTGTGGGTGTGTGTGTGTGTAGGTGTGTGTGTGTAGGTGTGTGTGAGTGTGTGTGTGTGTGGCGGTGGGGCCACCCCGTGACCCCGGGGCCTGGCCCCGTGACCCCGGGGCCTTGCAACGCCCCGTGATCCCGGGGCCTTGCAACGCCCCGTGACCCCGGGGCCTTGCAACGCCCCGTGACCCCGGGGCCTTGCAACGCCCCGTGACCCCGGGGCCTTGCAACGCCCCGTGACCCCGGGGCCTTGCAACGCCCCGTGACCCCGGGGCCTTGCAACGCCCCGTGACCCCGGGGCCTTGCAACGCCCCGTGACCCCGGGGCCTTGCAACGCCCCGTGACCCCGGGGCCTTGCAACGCCCCGTGATCCCGGGGCCTTGCAACGCCCCGTGACCCTGGGGCCTTGCAACGCCCCGTGACCCCGGGGCCATGCAACGCCCCATGACCCCGGGGCCTGACCCCGTGACCCCGGGGCCGGGTTACGTCCCCACGGGGCGATCACTTCCCAGCGGCGGCCTGCGGAGCGGACGGACTACCTTGGCGGCGTCGATGTTGATGACGCGGTGATGGGAGTCGCCCGATCGGAGGGTCAGCGCCTCTCTGGGGAAAGGTCAAAAGTGAACAAACAGGCACATTGATCAATATTTCTAGATTTGAAGCTTTCGTGACTGCAAGGATTCGTATTCTTGGGTTTATTCTTGGCCACGGAGAGAGACTTTACCGAAAAAACCCAAGAACATTAATCAATATGTACGTACGAGAAGCAAGCAAGCTTTCCGTTATAAACTACGCAACTATTTCTGTTTGTTCTACCAGCTAAGGCCCACTGCTGGGCCACGTAGCTCTTTTTCAGAAGCGACACCGGCTGTTACAAATGACAGCTCAACGACGTGGGATCGTCATCGTCATCATCATCACGTGGGAATTTATAGCAGCAGACAAATACTCTGAACGCGTGACGTCGATTCTGAACGTCGAGGGAAAAAACCGGAGGACCCGGAGAAAAGTCCACGTGACCACGGGGAGAGAGAGAGAGACACGCAGACTCCAAATATACAGCAGGCGTCAGGGTCAGGATCGAACCCACCACGACCTCCTGTATACCAGGCGAGGTAGTTAACATCTCACCACGGAAAGAGAGAGACACAAATTCGAAATATACAGCAGGCGTCAGGGTCGTGATCGAACCCACGACGTCCTGTAGACCAGGCGAGGTAGTCAACATCTCCTAGCCGCCGCTGGGCCAGCTCGCTGTGTCATTTGGTAAGTCTGTAAGGCCGCTTTGTCAGCTCGTTAGTTAATTGTCAGCACGCTCATAAGTTCGTTGTTCATTCATTAAAAACATCATTCATTAATTGTAAAATGCATTCATCAATTTAATCATTCAACCCATTCACATTAACTCGTTGATTTTCTTGGTTCTTTCGGTAAAAGTCACGTAGAAGGGAAATAATAAAATAATAAAATTAAACATAAGTAGTGACTAATCCCATATCTGCATTTCCCATAAATATGCTAAATTCCTCTTGATATGCAAATTATTTTGTCAAGGCGCTCTTCCCCCTCCAACCCAGCAGCTTAAATATACGCTGCCAAGCCTGGTGGTGTTTCATTCAGACGCTGTCTTCCCGACAGACCTGGTCTTCACCTGAGGACGGCTGCTTGCGTTGTGGCCGAAACGTCGTGAGAGTTGTATTTTATTATGATTTATTTTTATTATTTCAATATTTCCCTTCTACGTGACTTTACCGAAAGAACCATGAAGATGAATCCCTGCAGTCACGAAAGAAGCTTTAAATCGAAATTTTATTATGTTTTATTATTTTATTATTTCCCTTCTACGTGACTTTACCGAAAGAACCAAGAAGATGAATCCCTGCAGTCACGAAAGAAGCTTTAAATCGAAATGTTATTATGTTTTATTATTTTATTATTTCCCTTCTACGTGACTTTACCGAAAGAACCAAGAAGATGAATCCCTGCAGTCACGAAAGAAGCTTTAAATCGAAAATTTATTATGTTTATTTTTATTATTTTATTATTTCCCTTCTACGTGACTTTACCGAAAGAACCAAGAAGATGAATCCCTGCAGTCACGAAAGAAGCTTTAAATCGAAAATTAACTCGTTGATTCATGAACTTGTCATGAGCACATTTTTTAAGCCACTCATTCGACACATTCACAAGCTCATTAAGTCATTCTCCTTCTCCCGGACCTCCGATTATCACGGTTGGCTACGTACGGTGCAGAAGAAGTTCAATGTACATGCAAAAGATCCCCCGTGTAGCCTTAACAGACTGTAGGGGCAAGTGCTGTTAGCGAGCACCTATGAAGGCCGGTACGGCACACGAGGGGGTGGGTGGCCAGCACCACGCCCGACCGCCATTGTCTCCCCAGTGGCGATGTTTACACACCGCCGCACCCGCTACTCATTCGAGGCTGAGCCGACCTAGGGGAGGCCCAGCACCGGTTCAGACAATCGTCACCGGTGTTGGCCGTGAGCGGCAGAGGTCGCAACCGGGTACCCGATACCCGTACCCTACCCGATACCCGGCTACCCGTACCCGGCCGGGTACGGGTACGGGTAGGCCGTGAGTCACTGATGAGTCACCATTTGTCACTCATTTCCCAACGTCTTGTCTCTTCTCACAATTCAAGTTCCTAGAATCAACCCACCCGCGCCTGCAACGTGGCTTCATCCCAGAGGTCGCAATCGGGTACCCGATACCCGTACCCTACCCGTACCCAGCTGGGTACGGGTAGGGTACGGGTACGGCCGTGTATGGGTACCCGTTTGCGACCCTGGTGCGGCCGGGTACGGGTACGGGTTGGCCGTGAGTCACCGGTGAGTCACCGTTTGTCACTCATTTCGGGTAGGGTACGGGTACGGGTAGCGTACGGGTACCCGTACCCGGCCGGGTACGGGTACGGGTACCCGTTTGCGACCCTGGTGCAGCCGGGTACGGGTACGGGTAAGGAATCAAAACCCGTTTGCTACCTCTGGTGCTCATGTTCACCGAACGACGCAGCAGATACACACACACGCGGACAGACTCACTCTCACTCTTTGGTGCTTTCGGTAAAGTCACGTGGGCAGAAAGGAAATAAAATAGATCACGACGGTTTCGATCGCAAATCGTCTCACCTGATGACGATTGCTTGCGTTGCGATCGAAACGTCGTGAGCTATTTTATTTGTTCTACTCTACCGCAAGAACCAAGGAGTACGGATTGCCGCAGCCACGAAAGCTTCGAAGCAAAGATGAGACTCACTCTTCCTCTCGCTCGCTGTTGAAGAGCATCAGTTTAAATTCACTCCCGGAGGCCTGCACCCCAAGGCTCCCGCCCATGAGATGAGCCAGAAGATTCAGCTCCTCCTTAGCCAACAGGTTTGGCAGGGAACTCTCCTGTTACACAAAGACAAAGGTTCCCCAGTGTAGCCTTTAACGGACTGTCGGAGCAAATGGTATTAGCGAGTATGGAGCAAAGCATTTGAAGGCCGGCACACGAGGGGGTGAGGGGAGGGGTGGACAGCGTCACACTCGCAGGCGCTCACCCATTCACTCAACTCACCCAATCACTTACCCACTCACTCACCCACCCACTCACCCACTCACCCACCCACTCACTCACTCACTCACCCATCCACTCACTCACTCACTCACCCACTCACTCACTCACTCACCCACCCACTCACCCACCCACCCACCCACCCACTCACCCACCTACCCACCCACCCACTCACCCACCCACCCACCCACCCACTCACTCACTCACCCACCCACCCACTCACTCACTCACTCACTCACTCACCCACCCACCCACCCACTCACTCACCCACCCACCCACCCACTCACTCACTCACCCACTCACTCACTCACTCACCCACCCACCCACCCAATCACTCACCCACTCACTCACCCACCCACCCAATCACTCACCCACTCACTCATCCACTCACTCACTCACCCACTCACTCACCCACCCACCCAATCACCCACTCACCCACCCACTCACTCACTCACCCACCCACCTACAGATTCACATACACACACATTCAGATTCACATACACACACCTACAAATTCACATACACACACATACAGATTCACATATTCGCATACACACATACAGATTCACGTACACACATACAGATTCACACACACACAGATTCACATACACACACACAGATTCACATACACACACACCTACCTACTACTGTGCCAACTGGCTGCATTTTCGCCACCCGAAGTTCAACGCGCACACACAGAGACCCACAGAGACCCACAGAGACCCACAGAGACCCAGAGATTATCACACACAGAGACCCACAGATTAGCACACACAGAGACCCACAGATTATCACACACAGAGACCCACAGATTAGCACACACAGAGACCCACAGATTATCACACACAGAGACCCACAGAGACCCACAGAGACCCACAGATTAGCACACACAGAGACCCACAGATTATCACACACAGAGACCCACAGATTATCACACACAGAGACCCACAGATTATCACACACAGAGACCCACAGATTATCACACACAGAGACCCACAGATTATCACACACAGAGACCCACAGATTAGCACGGCTGGTTATGTACGGTGTGAAAGAAATTCAACACACACACACAGAGACCCACAGAGACCCACAGATTATAACGGCTGGCTATGTACGGTGTGAAAAAAGTTCAACACACACAGAGACCCACAGAGACCCACAGATTATCACGGTTGGCTGCGTACGGCGCGAGAGGACTTCAACGCCCGTACAACGTCCGTGCAACGTACAACACACATCTGGCTCACCTGGGCGTGTGGGGAGCATGCCTTGGTGGCTCCTGACAGATCTGTGTCCACACTCCGCGTTGTGCTGTACCTGCACAAATACGCAGAGACGCGTGGTGTCACGGAGCGAGAGGGCACGCACGCACACACGCACTACGCTTGATCTAGGATTGACTGCGGGAATTACGATACCCATGGGTTCTTTCGGTAAGGTCACGTGTGTAGGAATACAAATGAAATTAAAATACCACCATTGGAACCTCCTTTGCCAGTAGCAAAATATGATAGTTGTTTTTTTACCCTTTTATCTGGCAACAAAACTGACACCTTTTTTACAAGGAGTCATGTTTGTATTGACCACAATACCTGCGGTCGGAATGCAAACAAAAAACACAATCTGATAATGTATGCACTGTCCTTGAAGTTGATTGGTCCACACCCGAGACAGCTTTTCTTAGAGCCTAGTCTCACATGGTGTTGGACCAGATGACGCCAAAAGGCGCACAACTCAAAGACAATGCACCATCAGAGTATGAGAGCTCGGGGTAAGCATTTACACCATTAGTACCTCATTTGCCAGTAGCAAAATATGATAATTGTTTTTTACACTTTTATCTGGCAACAAAACTGACACCTTTTTTTATTACGAGGAGTCATGTTTGAATTGACCACAATACCTGCGGTCGGAATGCCTAGTCTCACATGTGCACACCGTGTGAGACTAGGCTCTAAGAAAAGCTGTCTCGGGTGTGGACCAATCAACTTCAAGGACAGTGCATACATTATCAGAGTTGTGGTTTTTGTTTGCATTTTTGTGGTCAATGCAAACATGACTCCTCATAAAAAAAGGTGTGCGTGCGTGCGAGCGCGCTCACATGTTGGTGCCCAGCGTGATGACGCGTTCTCCGTAGATCTCGCACGAGCCGTCGCGCAGCGCGGGCGAGTAGGCGCCACCCGCCGGGAAGCCAACGCAGCGCAGCACCTCACCGCTGGGGGCAAACAACCTGCACGCAGACCTATTTTTTAAATCCTTTATATTAAGTTCGCTTGCTTGCTTGCGACCGTGCAAATCTTTCGGTCGTTTTTTAACCCACTTCCCGTGATCCAATCGAGCTGACATTTTCCACACAGACTCGTTGTGCGTGACAATTGATGTTCGTGAAAATTGTTTTCCTAAATTTTACACTTTTTAGGACAAAAATATTATATTTAATTACCAATTGCTTAATGGTGCAATGCAATCATCTGACCCATAGGTGGCAGCCATCTCAAGCCAGAGGATGAGAGGACTCTAGCCGCCACGCATATAAAGGATTTATAGTGAAAAACTTAGTTTTTACGGGTTAGACTTTTTAGGTTTTTTCGGTAAAGTCACGTAGGTAAAAAAATTAAATTAATAAAAGTAAAATAAAATAAAAATCACGACGTTTCTGAGGCAACACAAGCTTCCGTCTTCAGGTGGAACCGTCACAGCACGACTGCTGTATCAAGAAAGAGAAATTCCAAGTAAACAGTCGCAAACGGGTACCCAGGTACCCGTTTGCGACCCTGGTGCGGCCGGGTACAGGTACGGGTAGGCCGTGAGTCACTGGTGAGTCACCGTTTGTCACTCATTTCGGGTAGGGTACGGGTAGGGAACGGCTACCCGTACCCGGCCGGGTACGGGTAGCCGTTTGCGACCCTGGTGCGGCCGGGTACGGGTAAGGAATCAAAACCCGTTTGCGACCTCTCCTGCGAACGAGAGCCACTCGCTCGCCAATCTCTCGCACACCGACACCAATAACGCCGCCGCTCGCCGCTCAGCGACGGCGACGTCACCACGGCACCTGTGCCAGGCTAGGTGCACGCACGCATTCACCAGCGCCCCCCCCCCCGCCCCCACCCCCCCACCTCACCTGATGGTCCCAGGGTTCTCCGTTCCGAGAGGGACTGGGCCCGAGGTTGGCAGGACGAATCGCCCGTTAGAGCTCTGCACTTTGTCCTTCAGGAAAATGGACACCTGAAACACCGCCATGCACACGCACACATACACGCGCACACACGCACACACACGCACACACGCATGCACACACGCACGCACACGCACGCACACACACACACGCACAAGCACGCACGCACGCACACACGCACGCACGCACGCACACACGCACACGCACGCACACACACACACGCACACACACACGCACATACGCACACACACGCACACAAAGATAAAGATAAAGATCCCCCGTGTAGCCTTAACAGACTGTAGGGGCAAGTGCTGTTAGCAAGCACCTATGAAGGCCAGAACGGTACACGAGGGGGTGGGTGGCCAGCACCACGCCCGACCGCCTTTGTCTCCCTCGTGGTGATGTTTACACACCGCACCAGGTACTCATTTAAGGCTGAGTCGACCTAGGGGAGGCCCAAGACCGGTTCAGATAATCGCCACTGGTGTTGGCCGTGAGCGGGAATCGAACTCGTGTCGCCGGGTTCATAGCGCAGCGCAGCGCTAACCACTACACTACCGCTCCCCATACACGCACGCACACACGGCGGGGGTCAGACGCAGCGCTCACATCGGCCTGTGCATCGCACGCGCGTGTCTTTGTCTGCGCGTGTCTTTGTCTGCGCGTGTCTGTCTGTCTGTCTGCCTGTCTGTCCGTGTGCGTGTCTCACAACAACGAGCAGAGCGCCGGGTGGCTAAAGCGCAAGCAAGTTAGCACAGTAGGGGTCACAGGTGGTGCATCTGCCAGTAGCCATCTCAGTCAGTCGACCCGTGGCACCTGCTGGGTCTGACCCTTGACCTCCTGCCAGCGGGCGTTCGACACTTCACGTGGCCTCAACGTGCACCTAGCCTGGCACAAGCGTCGTGGTGACGTCACCGCCACTTAGTGGCGAATGGCGGTTGTTGTTGTTGTGTGCGTGTCTTTGTGGGGTCGGGCGTGGTGCTGGCCACCCACCCCCTCGTGTGCCGTGCCGGCCTTCATCGGTGCTCGCTAACAGCACTTGCCCCTACAGTCTGTTAAGGCTACACGGGGGATCTTTGTCTTTTCTCAGCGAACCCCTAAACACCTGGCAGGAGGTCACGTGACCTCGCGACCTCCTGCGCACCTAGCCTGGCACAAGCGATGCGGCGGCGTCTCCGCCACTTATTGGCGAACGTCAGCTGTTGTTGTTGTTTGTTGTTGTTGTTGTGAGTTGCTGTTTGTTACCGTTGCTGTTGTTGTTGTTGTTTGTTGTTGTTTGTTGTTGTTGTTGTGAGTTGCTGTTTGTTACCGTTGTTGTTTGTTGTTGTTGTTGTTTGTTACCGTTGCTGTTGTTGTTGTTTGTTGTTGTTGTTGTGAGTTGCTGTTTGTTACCGTTGCTGTTGTTGTTGTTGTTTGTTGCTGTTGTTGTTGTTGTTACTCACGCGGATGTGCATGTCCTGGAAGAAGCTGAGCAGCGTCTGTCTGATCAG